TAGTTCGATTAGAATTTAGGGTTAGTGTTTATAATAAAAGAGTATAGGTGGATTTTAGTAGGATTTATATTTTCAAAATAAGGCCCCTAAATTTCAGCATCATCTGATTTCAGCATTATCCCTGACATTTAATATTACATTAGATTAGACTAATTTATTTTTGTACTAAATATTTATCTAATAAAGTTATATCTATTTAAACCTATTCAGGATTTTGCATTTTTGACTATTCTTATTAGTATTCTATATATATTCTTTATATTATTCACATAAGCTACAAATATACTTCCAAATAGGTATTACAACTAAAACTTTATAACTGGGTTATTTTCTAATTTGGTGCTAGATATTAGTTAGCATTTTCTTCAAATCTAAAATCACAGCTCTCTGGCTTGTCTTTTGTCTTTATCTACTAATACCTCTTTAAAACTTTTCTTTTTTCTTTAAGGTACTAGTCTCTGTAGTTCTTACAATCATCTATTTGTACTTTTATATTTTATTCTTAATATTAAACAGAAACTCTCATAGTTGGTTAGATATGGCTATATTGTATAATATCTAAATATTATTTCTAACAAGATTTCGTAATATTTTAATTACTTATAACTTGGGTATTTCACTTGGTTGGTATTCTAAAGTTGGTATGCCCTAACTACCTCAAGAGCATCTCGAAAAATTTTACGTAAATTACGTGATTGATAATGATTAAATCATATTACAATATTATCATTAAATAATTACTATCATGATTACTAATATTATAATGTTATTATTGCAAAGTATTTTAATTCTGTCTCAGATCACCATCCGTAGTATTAATCAAAAGCTTACATTCAAAATCAATACCCATTAAATTATTTTCTAAACATTTATTTGTATTTGCAGCTAAACTTTTTTTATACAACAGTCTTGATATTTCTTTTTGGTATTAAAGAATCAGTTTTAGTATTAGGTTTATTGGACTGTTTGTATTGAAAGAAGAATTGTAATGACAAGTATTGCAAGTTTTATGTTGATAAGTGTTTTTAATAAAGTTATTTAAAGATAAAAATTTTTGATGGCTGTTGCATTTTAATAAGGTATTATTTGTGGTATTGTTTTCTATATTAGATCATTGAACTAATAGGCAAGAGTGATAGATATTATTATATCTATAGAAATTCTTATAATTCAAAAAAATCACCTAATATTTTAACTTTCTGGTATAAATGCTCTCAATGCCAATTGCTTGCAAAAAGATTCAAGAAATATAAATTTGTTGAAAACCAAAGAGATCGAATACAAATTGAGTAATTTAGTTGTGATGGATTAGTTAAAGTTAGTATTAATATAGAAGTTAAAATTGCATCAATCCATCTTTAGCATTCTATAATTCATAAATAGCCTGAGTGATTCAATATCAATGAAAGTATTAAAGAAATAATTCGAAAAAATATATATCTTGCTTTAGGTGATATTTATCGAATATTAGAATATGATAATCCCAATTTAACTCAAAAGCAAGTACATGCTTGGTGGTCGATATTAATTAAACAAGAATATATTAAAAACAGTACAGATCAATTAAATTTAGTGAAATTCTCTTAAAAGATCATGGATATCAAATCCTACTAAGCAATTATAAAGAGGAAATTAAATTGTTCACCTTTGTAATACCATTTTTTAAGATTATTAAAAGTTGGAAGATTATAGTTGATGCAACGTACAAGACAAATATTCTTGGATATGAACTTTATACTATTATTGGGCAATATGATGGAGCAGGTTTTGCATTAGCTTATCTATTTGTAGAAGGCAAAAATAAAGCTGATGAGGCACATACTGAAATTTTAGCTTTATTTTTTAAAGCATTATATGAATAAGAAATGAAAGATATTGATTTTTTTTTGACAAACAAAAACTTTTTCTAAATTTCGGCTGCTCTACAAATTTGGCCACATGCCAAAGTACAATTATGCCTTTGGTATATAAAAAAAATATTAAAAAGATGTCTTTCTGATAATACATAGTCTAAAATAATAACTTACTGTTCTAATTCAGCATATGATGTATTTAATTTTATTGATATAAATTTTTATCCAACATTGTTACCAAAAACAAATGACAAAAAAGCTAAAAATAGCTTTATTTTTTGTCTACAAGCTTTACAACCAAAAATTATTAAAATTTTAGAAACTCATATGCATCAATATACATTAATTCCTAATATAAATGGTAACTATTTATCGGCTGAGAAAATTTGGTGAGAATCAGTACAAGAAATTTATAAATTCTGCATTGCAAACAATTTGCCAATTGTGTGAGCTTACTTGTGGTCAAGTTGGTATAGAAAAGAGATCTGGGTTTTGTGAAAACAATTAGCTGCAGAAAAAATTTGTATATTTCATACAACAATACTTATAGAATCCTATTGGAAAGTCATAAAACAGGATTATTTACCAAAATTTTTTCAACTACAGCTTAATTTAATAATTTATATTTTTTTTAATTATTTGATTCCACATTGTCAACAGCAATATAATAAATATTTAAATAGCTGTGAAAAACCCTCCTAGAGAAAAGACTTTAAAAAAGAATGGAATGACTTACAAAAAAAGAAGATTAATAATAAATATTTTACCCATACTGAAAAATAGACATGCTCTTGCTTGAGTTTTTTGAAAAACCAGTTATTTCTTTGCAAGCACTTAATTTATTACTCTTAATTTATAAATGTTGATCATTCTTTTTTTTTACCAAGTTTAATGGCAAGGCATATATCCATTTATATTTTTACCATATCATTATCAACCAATACTAATAAGAGTAAATATATAAGTACTGTATATATTATTTTTATAGATTTAATATATGCTAATTATATATATATATAATATTTAATTATATAGAAACTATATCAGTATTAAATGATTTGACAAATACTGAATCTTTTTAACCTATAAATTTGACAAATGGTAATGATAATTATGACCAAATGATACAACTGTTTTAATATTATAAATTAATTTAAATCAAGCATTAAGAATCATAGAAGAACAAGAAAATATTGGCAATAAATGGTGAGCACAAGCAGTTTAAATAAGTTTCAAGAGTGTAAACAAGTTGGTTAACGATATTAATAATTATCAAAGATGGATTACAAATCTGTGTATCTAGAAAGATCACAATAAGCATACAATGTTTTTAGAATAGCTATAAAATTTGTGAATGCTTCTTATAATATTCAAATATATTTCGAGTGTGTAATAATTTATAATATAAAATATTTTAATTTGTTGCTTTGTAACTTATTAAAAGTTTCTATAAATATTAATTTAAACATAAATCTAATTTTATGTTCGAAGTATTTAAGATTTTATTTAAGTAATTATCTAAATTTATAAAAAAAATGTATATTTCGAATTGCAGT